CCAAACATGCTCTTAATTTTGAAAAAATTAATTTTAAAAAACATAAAATCCTAATATAGAATTTTTAGAACTCATTAATATTTTAAAAATTTATCTATTCCCGCCGCTTTAATCTATAGGATTCAGTATAAGGTCATGAATTCTTGTGCCTCTAGAGTCCTTCTCAAACCTCAAAAAGGAGAAACTACTTTGTTTATCACTGATATGACAAAGGCTAATGTTTCTCTACCTAGAATTATTAAATGGGATGAGGTTACTCTTCCAGAAAAATGGGTGATGGATAAAGCCTCACCCAGTGTTCCTCGTCCTGCTCCTCAAATACAGGACATCTCACAGGACAATTCTGGAAAGGTTGAAATAACCTTTGATAGGAGAAACTCTTTCTCCTCTAGGATCGATGCTTATAGTAATCGATCTGATTTTGTCTCTGCTAGGAGATCTTTTTCTTCTAGATCTTATGTTAGACCTGATATCCCTAGGTCTGTTAACCATGACCCATCGCTAAATCTTCAAGGTTTAGACACTTCTTCTAGGATTCCCAGAAATGTTTATCAGACTTCTGAAAAAGAAGACGAAAATCAGAGTATCCAATCTCCAACTTACTCTTCCCTTAATGAGTCTTATGATGTTATCTCATAAATTCATTATAGATAAGGAAACCCTTAGGAAAGATTTTTACTCTGAGGAATGGAAACCTCAAAGAGAGTGGTTCTTTCAAAATTATAGGGGAAAAGACAGGTCTGATATCCAAGAGAAATTCTATCAATTTCTCGAAAAAGTCAAACAAAATATTCCATTCTTTGATTGGTATCATGCTTATACCATTCGTAATAATATTAATTATCCCTGGCAAGAAGATGTTATTAGTACATCCTCTGCTAATGTCATAAACTGGCAAATCAAAGATGGACAAATAGTCCAAAGTGATTTACCGCCCATATCTCAATACCAATTGCCTAATTTGAAAGATAAAGGCGGTAACCCTGTTACTGCCACTCCTTTCAAGTCTAAAAGTGCTGATGAGTCTATCACTCCTCATGACATCCAAGGCCTTATGGAACAGGCCAATTATACCAATAAATACCTTCAGGTTTTAGGAGAAAAAATCTCTGTTAATCCTGTCAAAACAAAAATTGAAGAAACTGCTTCTTCATCCTCACAACTAGAAAAACCCCTTTTTAAACCTTTTAAGATCAGCGCCAAAGCTAAGCAGAAAATCTTAGAACTTAGGCAAAAAGAGAAAACCAAAATAAATGAGGAAAACCAAAATGAGTTGCTTAGTAAAATTAC